TTGCGTATGTTCTGGCTACGCTCGTGTAAACTCTCAAGTTCATTTTCCTTTTCATGCAGGCTAGCCTCTAGTTCTCTGTTAGTTTCCTCAGCAGCAGTTTCTTTTGCAGACAGGTCCTCCAATTTCACTAAAACCTCTTTGAGTCTGTCTTCACTTTTTTCGTTTTCCGCTTTCTTGTCGTTGATTATCTCTAATATATCAACTCGCTTGGTTTTATACTTCTCTAACTTGCCTTGAAGCTTCTGAAACTTTGTCAACTTGGAAGAAGACAATTCCAGTTGCCTAGCAAGGTTTAAGGCTAAACTAGATAGGACTTGAACTGCATTCACAGAAACTCCTGTATTAAGCTAGTTCGCTACCTTAGCTACCAGGTCCATCTGGAGCTTTTCAACTTCATCAAAGGTCAATTTCTCAATACTGTCCCAGTAGCCAGGATTGTGGTCGCTAGAGAGAATACTTATAATCGTCACCATTGTTATTATTCAGGAAAAAAATTGAGTATTACGTTTAACCACAAAACAGTTTTATCGCCACAAAATACCACAGATGGATCACACATCAGCACACTCTACACTACACATTAAAGAGGAGGGGGATTTTTTTCCAGCACACTATTCTTGTGTATAGAAATTGGGTGCGAGCTGCACGATTTCACTGAAATCACAATTATTCCGCTTGATTGATTCTCATTTCAATCTGAACCATCCTCACAAAAGGGCATATAGGGGTTTTGTGAATTTACTGTGACTATTAATTGTAGCAGCAATCACTAGGTGATACGTTATGGCTTTTAGAAAATCAATAGATCAGTAAGGGTTATCAAATTGCAAGGTATATAATCACGAAGAGATGCAAAACACAAAGAGATACAAAGAATATGCTTCAGTATACCGTTTGGCTATACTATCGTTAATCAGTCAACATTAGCTACTCAATAGCAAATACATTACTCATGTGAATTGAATTGATATCAACTTGTGTTGGGGTAACAGCTGAATTCTCGAGATGCAATGTAGAACATTGGATTCGTATTTCCTGGCATAGGCACCAAAAGACCAGCTAGCAGCTGTGTCCAATCGCTGCAGGGTTTGATAGGCATCATCCCGGTGTCCTCTGGCTCCTTGCCAACCAGTCAAGGTGCAGCTTGGAGTTGGACGAATTAGGTGGAGAGATTTCTTCTGTCGCGACACGCCCACAGTGTCTCTCTCAGGAACGTAGTAGTTGTCCGGCTGACTAGTAGAAAGTCTCTATGCACAGAGGGTGACCGCGGGTCCGGTCACTCTTTAGGAGAACGAACATGTCAGTGTGACAAACATGCAAAAAAATAAGAAATCGGGATGGGGGCAAACACTTTTTCACACCACTGTATAACAACTGGATGATTTCTTTATCCATTTCAGCTAATGAGGGGAATTAAATAACTCACAATCTCAGACTGCCAATTGTAAAAATAACCCTTCTTCCCTCCTTTGTTTACCTTAAATACTTTTGCGAAGAAATCCTTAATCCAGAAAACATCACTTAATTTATCTAGATAAATTCAGGCCAGAGCCAACAACAAGCTGTAATATACAGTGCCTTGCGAAAGTATTCGGCCCCCTTGAACTTTTCAACCTTTTGCCACATTTCAGGCTTCAAACATAAAGATATAATTTTTTTATTTTATGTG